TTGTCCGCTTTTATGAGTTTTATGCAAATGCAAAAACGCATATTGTGACGGCCCATGGTATGCTTGTGCGTACGTGTGCATGTGTGTGAGTCTGTTCTGGTATTTCGGCTCGACAGCCAAGCAGTTTCCGGCACTAAAATTTTAGTGGGTTTAGCGGCCAAGTGTCACTGCAGGACCACAACTCTAGCCTTCACGCATGTCTGCGCCCCGCGCACGAGCACGTGAATTGTTTGGTGGAGGCATCGATAGCTCGGGGACGAGAAAAGCCGGAAGGTTGGAATTTTACGGGGACGTTCCCAGTCTACACACAACTTAAAAATTTCAAATTCAGCCTGCGGGTATGCTTAGTCTTCACGTACGGCACCATGAAAGTTTTTGGTAGGTATTGTGTCCTTTGCGACAAAAGCTGAGTTCGGCTTATTAGAACAATGAAAATAATCAGATGTTCATAATGTTTTAGGGAGCTCCTGGGTCTTGAGTTCTTCGGCTGTTGCTGACCGAGGTTTCACGGTCAGCAGGAGCATGCCGCTCCCTTCGTACTTTGGTTGCCGTTGAGTCTGATACCTGGCAATCCCAGGCTGTGCCGGTCTACGTTGCACCGACCTACGCGTCTACGGCGATCCACAATACACTCCCTAAACTCGCTTGACCGATCCACACTCTGGACACGCTTGATCCACGGATCGTTCTCGAAGCGCGATTATTACGTGCTCCCAGTTGTAGAAAATTTGTTAAATCTTGAAGCAGAAAAGCTGAAATTTTAAAGGCATATTCCCCATCCAAGTACCATTTAGTTGCACAGTTAACTTCCCAAGCGATCCTAATACGGCTGTAGGCGATCCCTTGTCTCTCTCCCTTCGCTTCCTACCATACATTGCATGATAAGTTTTCGTTCAGGATCAGTTGGATGCGGATTTTTTTTGTCGCAGAAGCTTGCTGAAGATGATTGGGAACACTGTGAATTATAAGCACGCTGCTTGGAAATTTGGAGTCATCAAATATCAGAATGTACATTTCCTCTGTGTAGTCAAACCAGCCTTCAAACTCTGTGAAAACAGCATTGCAAACTACCAAGGGCTCAAATTTGAGCAATACATGACCTCCGGAATTAACGAAACGGTTCGTGGAAGCGATCCAGAGCAATATTATACCGAAAAATTCTGAACAGAAGAATCTCCGGCATTTAACTTTGCTATTTTGTTGCAGTATTTACCACCAGTATCTAGTGTGGAGAAGTTTTTTGTGATGATAAGGCGAAAGCTTGGCAATATTCGAATACTCTTCAGAAGTGAGGTCGATTGCTTCGATCACGCAGGTAGCAACCAAGCTGTTTGCTGTTTTTTCTGCCAGGACTCTGTTGAATAGTTATGGGATTTCGGGGCTGCTAAAGAATTCTGTTATAGCGGAAAATTTTCTGAAACGCTTGTTAGTAGCGGCATTTATTGAAATTTTTTTTAGAAGGATCGCGTTACTTTTTTTGCCATTTGACGCCCTCAGCAAAACTATTCAACGTCATTACGGAGGCAAACACGGCATGTCCTCTGCAGTTTTCCGTAGAAATGCGTCGGGTCCAAGACCTAGGTGTTGTGGCTCACATGAGGATTCTGGTTGTTTCGGGCCTTTCAATTTTCATGCATGGTTTACATCACTGTTCCATGAAACCCC